GGTCAGTGTAAGGAGAAAGGGGATCACACTTTTGGGCATTTGGGTTGGACAATCCTGTTAGTATAATCACAAACATCATTACTAAGGCTAGAGTTCCTTTTTTTTCTATTCATAATATTCAGGCTAAGTTGGATTCTAAGGTACCACTTTTGATTCACAACTACTTTCTAAGTTCTGTAATCTAACTTTTATTTCAAACTACATTAAGTTCCTACCATTAACTACTGTCATCAAATAGATAAAGTCTCAGTACATTTTAAATACTACTTAATAAATGTACACTTGTACTATGTAGTCAGTGTTATAATCAAGATACTCTTGATTGTTGCAAGTATGTAAAAAATGTTGTAATCCAAACCAAGCATGGTAGTACATGCATGTAAATTCAGCACTCTGGAGGCAGAGGCAGAAGGATCACAAGTTTCAGTTAAGTTTGGACTATTATAGCAAAACACTGTCTTAAAAAAGCTATAGTCCAAAACCAATACTAACAAAATCTGAAGAACTATCAAAATAAAAATGTAACATTTATGAGATGATTATAATTGTAAACAATATATGTCTTTACAACTATTGTCCTTATTCCTTGTTATGTTTCTCTTGCTCTACCTCCTCCGCTATGTCTCATTTATAGACACCAAAAACTATTAAGTGGCTAGAGGCATTTTTATAATGGATTTCCACCACAACTGACAATGTGAATAAGTAAAACAATGCGTTCTATACCCAGCTCAAACACCAAACACTCTTCTAAAGGCTAACCTTCTCACAATACTAACCATTAGTTTTATATATATACATATATATGTATATATATTTATATATATATGTATGTATATATACATACATATATACATTTATTTATGTATGTATATATACATATATACATTTATATATGTATGTATATATTTATATCTATATATAAAAATATATATGTGTGTGTATGTATATATATATATATATATATATATATATATATATATAAAATATTCAGTGGAAACTGAGTTACAACAATTGAAACACTGGCTGTCATATTAAATCAGCAAAGCTCTTAATTGTTACCACACAGATGGCTCTTACTGAAAACATTACATTCTATGGAGAACTCAACAGCCCTCTGCTGTTAGGATAGAAGATTTTATATCCAAAGGGTCATCTAATTCCTTATAGCTATTTGATGGCTATAATAGGTTTGTTGTTATTAAACCTAGTAACAACAAAACTTTGGCAGATATTTGCAGGGCATTTCTGATCAATCTTATGTTTTGTGGTGCTGTGGATCAAATTCAGGGCTTCATTCACATGAGGCAAGTGTTCTACCACTGAGCCACATCCCAGTTTGAATATATATGTTTTTGAGGGATCCTGAAAGAACATACAATGGAGATAGTAAAGATCACATGACATGCAATGAGACAACCACTGTCCCTTTTGTTTTAGTAGAAACTCAATGGCAGGTAGAAGAGTGAGAAATTTTTATAGTGGGAAATGGCCAGTTTCTAGGTATACAGATAGGTAGTCAGTCATTCACTTAGGGAAACTGCAGACCAGCTAAGTAGAAATGGGGCATCCTGTGTGATTTGTCAGAGTCGTATCTTGGACAGTCTCTTGTTGGACCTCAGTTGGAAGCATAGAAAAAAAAAATCTGGAACTTGTTAATTATTAGTCAAATCCTAGCAATTTGGAGCTGATTCTTATAGAAGTTATTCTTTAGCTTCCTAGATCATTACTAATGTTAGCAAAATGACATCGTACAAGGTCTGATTTGCAGCAGATGAATTTTCAGGGCTGTTTATTGCAGATGAAAGAGTCAATTTTCTGAGGTTTCTAAAAGTTGCGGATTATAAATTCTGCTTTTATATATGTTCCATCCTTTTCCAAACTGTGGTTTCTGTCCCTCAGTACAAATCTCACCTACAATAGAACAATGAGAGCAATAGTGCTCAAGGTGACTTGGGAAGAAATTTTTTGGTGTTGTTGCTACCCCGGGGGTAATCCTTATAACTATACAAGTGAACTCTCTAGAAAAGTTTCCTTGTGAGTGATTTTGATAGATCAAGTGGTCCTTCACTGAAATATAGCCACATCATGATAAGAAGGGACAGAAATAGACCAAATGTATGATAACAATTGATGTTTACTTTTGAAATAATGAAATAACATGGCCACCTCTGAGGATCCCATATGTGACTGTTCCATGGAAAACAGTATAATTTTGTCTGTGGCTATCAAATTAACAACTCTACTTAAATTACCAAGAATTCCTGGGAATTCTAGTGCAGGCCCATGGAAGTGCCATTTGTGTGTGTGTGTGTGTGTGTGTGTGTGTGTGTGTTTGACAATCATCAGAAAAACATGAGCTCTAATGTACACTAACATTTCTGAAATCTACATGTGTCTTCAGTTTCAGCAGGCCATTGAAATGCCATATTTAACTGCATTCTGGGCTTACTTCTGGCCAGCCTGATTTTAAAAGATTGCAGCAGAATCTATCTCTTCTGGAAAGCTCTCCTACAAGCCTCACTGATGAAGATGAGCCCTATCTCCTAGCCATGAACCTTCACCAAGGTTCAGAGGCTAATCAGACACAGATATTTGGCTAAGGGTGTGCTAGGCCCAGAACCAATTTTGTGGACCCATGCACTGAATACAAGGTGGGTAACATAAAATCTTGTCAGAATATGATATCATATGATTCTATTAAAACCAGTTGGTATTACACTAAGCCACACAAGATAATCTTCACAGGAACATACAGATTACTGGCAGCATAAGTTACCACTCAGGCCTATAAGGAAACCAAATGTTTTCCTCTATCCGTTATCCTTCCAATTTTGGTCAGTCTTTCCTGCACTTAGCTGTGACTCAGAATTCCAGTAGCTCCTTAGTAACTAATAGAAACCTTTCCAAAGATTTGCTTCCATAAACCACGCTAATTGCAGTTTTCTAATTTTGACAATGAGTTTTCCTAATAGCCTCCATGGTGCTAACTGCCTAGGATCACTAATTTTCAATGTGGTTGGAATAGCAAAGTTGCAGGACCCTTCAAAAGACATTATATTTTCTATATTGGTAACAGTTAGGACTGTGTACAGCACGGTTTTCTAGTTAGCTACAGGTTTTCTAATTAGAACTAAATGCCAGCCCTTCTGTCCTTTGGAGAAAGGGCAGACCCTTAGAGTTGGCAGTAATATGAGTCCTTAGAGGCTTCAACAGAAGAAATAAGAGAGGAGACAAGGGAAGTGATGAGAGCTGCATTCTTCCATGCCCCACGCACAGTTTTCACTGTAAACAGATTTGAGGAAGACGCTAATCCTAAGGATGTTTTTTTTTTCACTTTTATTTTATTTTATTTTTTTCTTATCAGTTACATTTTATTAACTCTGTATCCCAGCCGTGTCTCGATCCCTCATTCCCTCCCAGTCCCTCCCTCCCTCCCTCATCTCCACCATGCCCCTTGCCAAGTCCACTGATAGGGGGGACCTCCTCCCCATTCATCTGATCCTGTTTTATCAGGTATCTTCAGGGATGTTAACTACAAATTTTAAAAATCTTTGAAGTACCTGACACATGAGTAGAGACTAGTATTATCTCCATTTGCCCATCTGTTCCACGCTCCTTGTCTTACCCCACCAAAGCCTCTCTCCTGCCACTGCACATTTTCTATAGTTTATTATTTTTATCTATTTATTACAATATATTCACTTTGTATCCTGGCTGCATGTAGCCTCCTCCATCTCCTCCCAATTCCACCCTCCTTCTTCTTTCCCTATACCCCTTCCCTAGTCCACTGATAGGGGAGGACCTCCTCTCCTATCTGACCCTAACCTATCAAGTCTCATCAGGGCTGGCTGCATCATCTTCCTCTGTGGCTTGGCAAGGGGGAGGTGATCAAAGAGCTAGCCACTGAGTTCATGTCAGAGACAGCCCCTTCCCCCCTTACTAGGGAACCCATTTGGAAAATGAGCAGCAGATCTAAGTCCTCTCCATGAATGCTCCTTGGTTGGAGTATTGATCTCTGCAGGCCCCCCCTGGGCACAGGTTTTTTGGCCCTGTTGGTCTCCTTGTGCAGTTCCTGACCTCTCCAGGTCTGTCTCCCTCTTCCATAAGGTTTCCCGCATTCTGCCAAAAGTTTGGCATTTCCTTCCATACCCTGACGGGTAGAGTCTTCCAGAGCCCCCCTGTGGAAGACCCCTGTCCTGTTTCTTGTCTTCTCCTACTTAGATGTCTATCCTGTTTTCACTTTTGAGTGAGGTCTCAGCCTCCTCCCTACAGCTAAACAGAGGAATTTCAAATGACAGAGGAACACTTACAGAAATGCTCAGCATCTTTAGTCGTTCGGGGAAATGCAAATCAAAACGACCCTGAGATTCCATCTCACACCCATCAGAATGGCTAAGATCAAAAACTCAAGTGACAACACATGCTGGAGAGGATGTGGAGAAAGGGGAACCCTCCTCCACTGCTGGTGGGAATGTCAACAGGTACAACCACTATGGAAATCAATCTGGCACTATATCAGAAAATTAGGAACAGTGCTTCCTCAAGATCCAGATATGCCACTCCTGGGCATATACCCAAAAGAAGCTAAACCATACAACAAGGATATTTGCTCATCTATGTTCATAGCAGCATTATTCATAATAGCCAGAATCTGGAAACAGCCTAGATGTCTCTCAAATGAGGAATGGATGCAAAAATTGTGGTACACACAATGGACCACTACTCAGCAATTAAAAACAAGGAAATCATGAAATTTGCAGGCAAATGGTGGGACCTGGAAAAGATCAACCTGAGTGAGATATTCCAGAAGCAGAAAGACACATATGGTTATATACTCACTTATAAATGGAGATTATCCATATAATATAAAATAAACGTACTAAGATCTATAGTACTAAGGAAGATAAACATTGCGCAGTTTTGATGCAGAATCACCAGGTCCACTTTCGCAGACCCACGGGAGGGGCTGGGCGGGCGGGGTCGCCTTGTCGCAGAGCCCAGCTGCGCCTGCGCGGACTGCGGCAGAAGGCGGGGTGTGAGAGGCGAGTGTTCTGCGCCTAGTGTTCACTGTTGGCTAGAACCTTCCTTCTTTCCCACCACCTCTAATTTGGGCTCCTGCGACTCGCTTGGAATTGGGGTTCTGGCGGCAGCAGCAGCATTCCTGCTAGCAGCAGTCCTGTGCAGAGGCGCCTACAACACCTTGCGTCCTCTTCTGTGAGATCGCGGGCCTGTCGGTGTCAGCTTCCCCACGCTGGTCGACAGGACCATGTCGCTGGTAAGCCAGAATTCGCGCCGCCGCCGCGGTGGAAGGGGCAGTGCTCGCAACAGCAGCGGCAAGGGGCTCCCTGCTGCTGCGCCAAGCCCAGACGTCCCTCGGGACCTGAGCGACCCCCAGATTGTCCAGGGCCTCTGCGCCTCCGAGGGCCCTGGCACCTCCAAGCTGCACACCCCCCGGGAGGGCCCAAGCACCTCTGTGCCGCCCACTATCTCAGAGGGCTCAAGCGCCTCCGGGCAGCTCATCACCTCTGAGGGGCCGAATACCTCTGAGCTGCCCACCTCCGTAGAGGGTCCAGGCACCTCCCAGCCTCCTGTCATCTCCCCCGGGCAGAACGGCGCTGTGTCAATCACCGCCTCAGAGGGCCCGAGCATCTCTGTGCCACCCACTGCTCCTAAGAGCTCAAAGGCCTTTGAGCATCTCACCATCTCTGAAGGGCTGAGCATCTCCGAACAGCCCCACTCCGATGAGGTCCCTGATGTGCAGCCCACCCTGGGTGAGGGTCCGGGAACCTCGGTGCCGCCCACCTTCTGCGAGGAAGAATCGGGCATTTCCGTGCCACTTCTCTCTGGTGAGGCCCTGAGCACCCCCGTGTTGCCCACCATGTCGGAGGGACCGGGTATCAATGTGCCCCCCACCGCTAGTGAGGCCCCCAGCACTTCGGTGCCGCCCACTGTCTCTGATGGACTGGGCATCAACGTGCCGCCCACCGCGGGTGAGAGCCAGAGCACCTCCGTGCTGCTCTTGGCTTCGGAGGAACCAGACATCTCCGTGTCTCCCCGCTCCGCTGAGGGACTGAGCACCTCCATGCCGCCCCCCTTCGGTGAGGCTCAGAGCACCTGGGTGCCGCCCACCATCTTGGAAGAATCTATCCTCTGTGTGCCGCCCACCTCGGTGCCGCCGCCCGCTGTTTGTGACAACCCGAACACCACCGCCAAGGGCCGGGGCGCGTCCCTGCGATCCATGTCTGCTGAAGGCTTCATCATCTCGATGGCGCCCTGTGCTGCGGAGGGATCTGCCACCTGCGGGCTGCTTCCCTGCGCTGAGGGCCCAAGCACCTCTGGGCTGCACACCATGGGTGAGGGGCTGAGAACCTCGCAGATGCCGCTAGCTGCCGAGGGCCCTAGCACTTCCGGTATGCCTACTGCAGCTGAAAACCCTTCAGCCGCGTTGAGCTGCGGTGCTGCTATGGGCATGAACTTATGCAAGTGCACCTCCCTCACTCTGCAAAAGGCCTCTGCTCCCTCTGTACGCCCAAAGCGTTCAGAAGGCCCCCTGGAATTCCAGGTCCTGAGAGACAGTGAGAATTCCAATTCCATTACCATTATGGGCCTTGGCACCGCCCACGTTGCCCTTACGCTGAAGCCTCAGGATCCTATGGAGCAAAACGTAGCAGAACTGTTGCAGTTTCTACTCGTGAAGGATCAGAGCAAGTATCCTATCAAGGAATCTGAAATGAGGCAATTCATTGTCAAAGAATATCGCAACCAGTTCCCAGAGATCCTCAGACGAGCAGCAGCCCACCTGGAGTGCATTTTTAGGTTCGAACTGAAGGAGCTAGATCCTGAGGAACACACCTACATCCTGCTCAACAAACTGGGACCTGTGCCCTATGATGGGTTAGAAGACATCCCAAATGGGCCAAAGATGGGACTCTTGATGATGATCCTGGGACAGATATTCCTAAATGGCAACCAAGCCAGGGAAGCTGATATTTGGGAGATGCTCTGGAGATTCGGAGTGCAGCGTGAGAGAAGGCTTTCCGTGTTTGGGAACCCGAAGAGACTTCTGTCTGTCGAGTTTGTGTGGCAGCGTTACTTGGACTACAGGCCGATAACTGACTGTGTACCAATCGAGTATGAGTTTTACTGGGGCCCACGATCCCACCTAGAAACCACCAAGATGAAAATTCTGAAGTTCATGGCTAAGATCTATAACAAAGATCCTATGGACTGGCCAGCACAGTACAATGAAGCACTGGAAGAAGATGCTGCCAGAGATGTTGGTAACGAGTGGCGAGCTGTTCCTCACTTTAGGAGGCCCTTTTTTGAGGAAGTTTCTCCAGAGCTCCTGGCTCCTGATTCAGATGCTCCTGGCTATCCCACGAAATACTCTCCCCATTCATGGCCTGAGTCAAGATTAGAGAGTAAGTCAAGGAAATTGGTCCAATTATTTCTGCTGATGGATTCAACTAAGCTGCCTATACCAAAGAAAGGAATTCTCTATTACATCGGCCGAGAGTGTAGCAAAGTGTTCCCTGACCTTCTGAATCGTGCTGCTCGCACCCTAAACAACGTGTATGGGACTGAGCTGGTGGTCCTCGATCCAAGGAACCACTCCTACACCCTGTACAACCGAAGAGAAATGGAAGATACTGAAGAGATTGTGGACAGTCCAAACAGGCCCGGCAACAATTTCTTAATGCAGGTTCTAAGCTTCATCTTTATCATGGGCAACCATGCTAGGGAGTCTGCAGTCTGGGCCTTTCTGAGGGGCTTGGGGGTTCAAAATGGGAGAAAGCATGTGATTACCTGTAGGTATTTGAGTCAGCGCTACATAGACAGTTTGCGGGTCCCTGACAGTGATCCAGTGCAGTATGATTTTGTATGGGGGCCTAGAGCCCGCTTGGAAACCTCCAAGATGAAAGCCCTGCGATATGTGGCCCGAATCCACAGAAAGGAGCCACAGGACTGGCCAGAGCAGTATAGGGAGGCGTTGGAAGACGAGGCCAATAGAGCCGAAGCTGGGCACCGGCCACTGGTTGTTCGCAACTTGCGATAGATTAATGTGTGGCAGTGGCAGTCAGTGAGGCCTTGTATGGCCGGGCCTAGAGCCCTGGTTCTCATGTATTGGGGTTTGGGGGGGATACATATTGTATTTGGTATTTGTGTTCCAGTTCCATTGATGGATTTTCATATTTAGTTCTTGTTTGGTATCTTGAAAAGTTTTCATTGTTTTAATAATACTGTCCAGTAATGTAAATGTGATTGTCCACTTGCTGTCTGTGCTGTACTTTGCTGTAAGAGTTTTGATAGTGTTATAAAGTGTTTTGGGACTCTTTCCACCTTGTTGCATTGTCTGAAAGTGAATATATAGCATATAGCTATAGACATAGGCTTTTCCCTGAAAGCTTGAAAATAAAATCATCAGTAAAGTGATATAGCTTCAGATGTTAAACAAACAAATATACAACAAGTGACAAAGCACTAAGTTGTGGCTGGCTTTCCTTTATGTCTGCTATTGTGTAAAGAATACTAATGTTTACCTGTATTTGCTTTGCTGTACTAAAAGTATTGAGAAATAAAAGTGTAATAAATAAAAATTCTAATGCACTAATTTATTCAATAAACATTTGTTAAATTCCTCTCATATAATGGGCACAGTAGTATATTCTGGATATAGTATTATACAAACTATAGCACTTTTGCTAGAAGTCAAGGACCAGCAGCTTTGTTATGATATACTAAGTACAATATAGTACACTAAGTAGAGAGTTCTATGGGAATTAAGAGAAGTTACATCAATCTAATTCCTGAATCTAAATACTCCATAGTGACCATGGTTGGAGTAAGAAGACAAGAGTGGGTTCTTGATACAACATAAGGTAAGTGGACTCAAGTCTGGAGATTAGTCTTCAGTGAGTACTGGTATGGACCGAAGTCAGTGATTTGAAGGTAAGAGGTTTCATACGTCATAAGGTATCTCATTAAAATAGTAGGGTCATGGGGCTGGAGTGATAGTTCAGTGTTTAATAGTATTTACTGCTTTCCCAGAGGACCAAGTTTGGTCCTCAGCACCCACGCTGGGCACGTCACGGTTGCCTGTAACTCAAGCTCCATGGGACCCAATGTCTTCTGACCCCAGCAGGCAATCACACAAAGATATCCACTTGCACATGAATAAAAAAAAAAATTAACAAAGATATGTGAGTTGGAAGGCTGGGGCTATAGCTCAGAGTGTTTACACAAGACCCTGGGTTCTGTCCCAAGTACCACATAAGCCAGATCTGGTGGCTCACACCTGTAGTCCTGACACTCAGGAAGTAGAGGCAGGGGGTACAGGTGTTCAGGGTTATTATGAGCTACATACAGAGTTCAAGGCAACCTGGGATACATGAGCCTTATCTTAAATAGTTTAAGATGTTTGAACCAGCTTCCTCTGAGTTATATTGCAGTTTTATTGCAGTTTTAATGTGTATCCCCAAATTGAGCCAAATTGTTTAGCTCCAAATGGTATGTCTTTCTGACCCCTACCACCACCAAGGTTCAGGGAATATCAAAGGAGGAAGAGAGCATGAAAAGAATTTAAGAGCTGGATGGTGAGGAAGAGCGCTGTGGAATGCAAAGTTCTGCATGGCTATTGCACTCATGAACTTAGGATAGCTATGGTTACCCTCACAAGAGCTGCGTGAGATCAATCTAGCCAAAATTCTCACATAGATTGGGGAAGTGTTCTCCAAGCTCTGCCTTTACCAAGGAGCTAGCTGTTGGCATTTGATAACTGCTGTGGGAGGAAGAATAAGATTTTAAAATGTGTAGCCACTGGTAGATTTTCTATGCTCCAGTAGATGGCACCACACCCACGCAAACAGGGGCACGACAAATTGGACATAGTAGGTTATTAAAAAAAAAAAAGGACACAAAATTGGGAGGAGAATTTTTTAGGGAGGACATCAAAAGAATTGGAAGGAAAAATGGGAGGTGGGTATGATCATGGTTCATTTGTATGTATGTATGATGTTCTCAAGAATAAAGAAAAATTAATATTTAAAAATGAGGTGTAGAAATGGCTCAGAAGTTAAGAGGACTTGCTACTCTTCTAGAGGATTCCAGTCCAGTTTCCCAGAACCCATCCCAAGTAACTCACAGCCACCTGGAACTCCAGCTTCAAAGATCATACACTCTCTTCTAGATCCCACAGGTACTTGTACACACAGAGTATGCACACAAACACGTGAATACATGAACATGCACTTACACATAATTAAAGGTAAATACTAAAATAAACATGTAAATAAATACATTTATAAATAAATCAAACAAATCCCCAACTTTCAGTGGTGTACACAAACCCACTTCTTTAGTCCACTTTACATGATGTCCACAGGTTCCCTGACATTCTGTTTATACTGTCTTCATTCAGGTAATTGACTAGCAGGTGGTTGGTGGTGCACACCTATAATCCTGGCACTTGGGAGGCAGACACAGGCAGATCTCTGAGTTTGAGGCCAGCCTGGTCTACAAAGTGAGTTCCAGGAGAGCCAGAGCTGTGTAGAGAAAACATGTCTCAAAAAAAAAAAAAAAAAAACAAGCAAAGAAAAAATCAGGTAGACAAGCTAAATGAGTTGCCCACATACAGAAAATCTGTTTTTCTAGCAAAGATAAAATAGCTTTATTAGAATAATATGGTGCTTTTAAATTTTTCTGCTCAGATGTATTACAGTCCAGTGGCAAAATTCAAGCCAAATAGTCAAGCTTGCTGTTGATGGAAGGAAAATGTACTTCTTCCAAGGAAGGATATGACCTAATTTAGAAGCTACACAAATTTTTAATTAAAAAAAATTAGTTGACCATATAACAATTTACTATTTGTTGTGCAGTGGAAAGCTATTGGAAGATTTTGATCTGAGGAATGGAAGGATTGGAGTTATTTTTGACAGAATTATGTTAGATTTTTGGATTGAAAAACAAAGGGGCAAAGAAAACACAGCTTCTAATTTTAGGATAGCATGTCTTTCCTAATTTTTTTATTAAAAGATATAATTTTCAAGGAAAATTGAAATAAAATAGTCAGGCACCCTGTTATTTTTCATAAAATACCTGAGAAAACAATCTTCATTATATGAAGATATTAAAGGAGTTAATGAATACCGATTAAGATTAGGTGGTCTAGAACTATAGTGCCAGCCACAAAATTGTGGTCTCCCTGATTATCAGATGTGGGACACTGAATACATTTACTTAACATCTTTGCACTTCAGTAAACCTATTTGTAAAATGGGCTTAATGATTTCACCTGGCCCATAATTTTGTAATAATTAAATATAACAGGTAAAATACAACAAGACCAGAGATAGCTGGCAACATATAGATGAAGCTGCAGGTTGATTTTTCCAGGAATAGAACTGAGAAATTAAAAATTCCATAATAATTTTATTGTGGAGTGTTTCGGGGTTCAGAACCTATAAGAGAACAAGGGAGATAGAAATTTACAGAAGTGGTATGATAGTTGCAGTAAATAGATTAGTTGATTTCACCAACAAGTTTCAAGTCAGGGTGACTTGTCAGAGAGTTGTCCCAAATTAGGAAAAGGGGACTGAGTTTTTATTTTTCCATTGTGCTTAGTCATTGGATGTATTCGCCTTTCTCTTGGTAAAGTGTCTTGTTCAAGGATAAGTCAGTTCTTCCCAATCAAGAGAGGTTTGTGTAGGTATAAACCTAATGACTGCCAAAACTCTCAAGTGTGGAGGAACAAGCACTTTAATCCTCCAGAGTTGGGGCAGTTGGACTGGTACATAATAATATTCACTAAAGTTGTTGCTTCATTCACTTTAGCCCCACTTCCTGTAATTTTTCTTTCTTTTATTGTTATTTTCACTACCGTGGTCATGAAAAGGTATCAAATAACTTTTCATTGTTCTTTACAGGTGTTGTTCAACCACATCAATGAACCATTTTACTTCTGACATGACATTCTTGAAAGAAAGACTGATAATTTATCTTTTACTAGTCAAGTTCTTTATCACTTTTCAATGTTTCTAACTAGGTGTGTGCTTTTTTATGTATTCATTGTACAAAAATATTGGGTATCATTATGACATTCTCATGTATATATACCAGGTACTTTGATCTTTGGTACCTCATCACACTTCCTTGTCTTTTCTCCCACGTCCTACTGGTACTGTTCCTCTTCCTAAACAAGTCTCTTGCTTTCAAATCTTACTTTATTTTATTTATGCATAGATTAGATATATGGAAGAAAACATGAGATACTTGTTTTTCTGGGCCTGGCTTATTTTGCTTAACATGATGATCTTCAGCTCCACCCATTTTCCTGCAATAGGATGTGTTCTTTTATGGTTACATTGTATATGCCTATTTCTTTATCTAGCCATCTATTGATGGACACCTACACTGACTGTGATCACAGCTTGGTGATTGTGAGATGAGCAGGCATCTCAGTGCCATGCTAACTTGGAATCCTAATGAGAAATACATAGGAATGATATAACTGGATAATAAGGTGATTTTAATTTTATCCTCTTGGGGAATATCCATACTGATTCTTTATGTGACTACCCTGATTTACATTTCAATAAATTGTCTATAGGAGGTACTTTCCCCCTGCATCCTCACCAGAATTTGCCATTTATTTTGATTATACCCAGTCTGACCAGGGTCATATAGATCAGAATGTACTTTTGTGCACATTTCATTGATAGTTAAGAATGTTGGTTAATTTTTTTGTATGTATTTGTCTGTCTATAACTCCAGGATATTTAATGCTTTCATCTGGCATCTTCCAGCTCCACACGTATATGTACACATATACACACACAAATAAAATAAGTCTTTTTTAAAAAGCTGATATATGGAAGAGAAAATATGATTATGGGATTGATAACTGTCAATTTTGTTGATAGTTGATAGTACCAGAGTCATCATATTTAACATGAATATGATTTTATGCAGAGCGAAATAACTTTGTTCTATTTCTAGATTAAAATATTTCAATGAACAGTGACAGAAATTTGGTAAGTAAGTGGATTTGGATGAAAATATGTGACGTAGGTGCTGGAGAGATGGCTCATCGGTTAGGAGCACTGATGCTCTTCCAGAGGTCTTGAGTTCAATTCCCAGCAACCACATGGTGGCTTATGACCATCTATAATGTGATATGATGCTCTCTTCTGCCATGCAAATGTACATGCAAATAGAACACTCATACACATAAAATAAATCATTTTTAAGAAAAAGAAAATATGTGTTGTAATGAAATACCTAGGTTTCAGTTAATCACAAACTCAGATAAATGCAACAACTAAAAGGTAAATCTAAGACAAAATTCACTAAATGAGAAAAGGTAGAAAATTGGGAGATAGTAAATATGTTTTAGGATAGTTGCTTAAACTGAGGATCAAATAGTGTTTTTACTCCTTCCTTTCTTGAAAGAAGTATTCTTGACATTGTTTAACTGAAAGTACCTCTTAATGAGCTCAGATTAAATAATTACTTTTCCAGACAGAGCCAGCATACCGTTCCCAGCAAAAATCAAGGTACTTACAGTATATATAACTGTTATTTCATCTTAATCACTTACAATTTATTTCCAAACTCAGTACAATCAGGGTTTTCTTCTAACACCCAAATTCAGTTGTTCTTCACAATATATGTAATAACACCTAAATTGATAAATCCACTGATCACTTATCTGGCACTGATCTTTTTAGTGACTTTTGACATAGCTATTTTTTACTTCTCCAAGTATATTGCACTCACTGAAATCATAGTCTCCCAGTTTCTTCCTGATCCACTAACAACAGTTTTCCTCTCTTAGAATTCTAGGAATACACCAGGATTAGATCCTGTTTTCTTTTTGTTTTCTACATCTATGCCTTCATCCCTCCCTAGTTATCTCACTCATCTATTATTTCCTATATATACAAGTTTTGTGTGATGCTGGAGAGTCCAAATTTTATGCCTAAGCTCAGAGTTTGGGGTCCCACCATGAAGTCCTTTCATACCTAAGTAATGTATCACAGTTTTCACTTATATGGATAATATATATTACATTCTAAAATACCCAAATGTGAACTCTTGGAATTCACTTTCAAATCTGTTCTTTCTGTAGATTTTCTCCTCTTAAAGAAGATTGGTTGAAAAATAAAAGACGGTAGGTTGAATTTCACAGTTAATCAGTGTAAAAGTTTAGGATTATACCAGACTGCCTTCTATTTTAAGGATATTAGGGAGTCCAGTATGCTAGCAAATTCCAATAGTTCTACCATGAAAATAAACCTAGAATCTGAAAATCAACTCCAGCATTGCTACTGTGTTCTAGCCATCCGGATTATTGGTGTGAGCTTAGAATTTCCCTCCCTATTTCTGACATTGCTCTAGGCAATTTATTCTCAATACAATAGTCGGAAGGATTCTGGACGAATATATTCAGTTTATATAAATGGCTTGCATCTCCTTTCAATGTTTATTTTGCTCAGAATACGTACTACAGTCATATGGTGTGGCCCACAATTCTTTTCTGACTTCATCGCTTATTATGCTTTTTTCCCCTCACAGTTCTATTCTCTCTGTTTCTTGGACAAATCAGACAGGCTATACATTGTGGGCTTTTCTAATTTTTCTCACTACCTAGAGCACCTCAAATATGTAAATGGCTTATAGATTTCTTTTATGACTTTACAAAAAAATACAGTTTTGAGGAAAAATAGTCTATCTGAAACTCTAACTTCCTGCGTTGTTTTGTTTATTCTATCCAGTATAAGTTATCAACAATCTATCACAAAGAACCTGTATTTGGTTTTTACTACACAATAAGTTCATGGCCACCCTGGCCTGTGTGAAATCCTGCATTAAACAACAATAACAGCCAAAAAATTGTTGTTTTCCCAATTGGATTTTGGATCCCTGTTTTTTCTTGCCTACTTGTCCCATTTGGAATAGAAACATGTGTCTTAACGGCTTTTTCCACGTTGTTGTTTGGATAAAGACAACTTGTTTGATTTCATAGGCTCTTACTAATCTTGGGATGAATCATGGCTTGAGTCTCATTCTTGTCTCATTTACATAGATTTTAGACTTTGGACTTGGAAGAAGTTGGGAACTTGGGATCCCGGGATAGAGTGAATGTATTTGCACATGAGGAAAATATTAATTTTGGATGTGAAAAGTGGAATGCTATGGTTTTAATGCATCCTTTAAAAGTTGATTCATGGAAGTAAGGGGGAAAAGTTGATTCAAGGGAATTTTTATCAGTAAATACATATGTTAATGGTATTTGCATAGAAGGATTTTGGGAGGTAATTAGAATCAAATGACCTCATTATGGTCTTTGTCTCTCTCTTTGCCACCATGAGATAAGCACATTTTTGCTACCATACTACTCTACCTCACCACAGGTGTGTAGCAGAAGTCAGAAGAAGAGATTTTGATGTCCCAAATCTCAAGTTCAAGATGGTTGTAAGATGTCATGTGTTTGCTTGAAGCTGAATCTGGATCCTCTGCAAGAACAGTAAGTTCTCTTAACTGTTGAGCCATCTCTCTAGCTCCTTTGAAAGTGCCATTGTTTCTCTTTATGTCTCTCCGTGCTTTTATGGAAAAATCTGTTGAGTATAAGTATATGGGTCTGTTTAAGACCTTTCTACCCCATTTCACTGACCCTAACCCTAACCCTAGTCCTTACCCTAATTAAGCTCTTTATTTTGGTAGCATCCTCTTTTTTTCCATATGAGGAAATTTTTAATTTTAAACAACAAATAGCATGTAGCCACAAGTATTTATGTTCTATTAAAATCATCTAAAACCTAGGTACAATGACTATATTAATTTGGCTTTAGAAAACTATTTGAAATTTTTTTTTAGTTTTTTGAGACAGGATTTCTCTGTAGAGCCTTGGCTGTCCTGTACTCACTTTGAAGATCAGGCTGTCCTCAAACTCACAGATATCTGCCTGCCTCTACCTCCCTGAGTGTTGGAATTACACTTGTGCACCACTGTGCCCGGCTTATTTGAATTTTTTTAATACATACAAAATGTTACCATATGCCTAGGAAAAAAAATTAAAATAAGTGTACAGCATGCTGAATTACATACAGCTTCCTGCATTAAACTCACATTTATTTCACCCGAGGAAAATGAAAACTTTCAGAAAAAAAAAGCATGACTATGGAGGAATAAAACAATTCATTTTTAAATTGCAATTCATTAATCCTGATTATCTATGAATTCAGTGTATGTGCCTCTTCCATTTAGGTTCCTGAATGCTCAAATGGTACAGTACCTTCCTTTCCAGCTTCACGATTTTCCTCTTTCCCCTTTCCGAACTCTTTCTTAGATGTTTTTCTAGGTTTCAATTCAAATATTGGTGTAACACATTTCACTGGCAGCCTGGCAGATGCTCCTAGGGGCTCCTGTTTAGTTAGTTTGAATCTGTCTACAGAGGACAATGTGGCTTGCACTCTACAATTCCATTTTAATTATAATTTCTTTATGGCGTATTTCACAGTGGGATCATGAGACCTCTAGCTTTGCTCTCTTAGCAGAAGTTACTTTGGCTGATTGGAATTTCTGCAGTTTCGTGCAAATTTCAGGATGTTTTTTTTTTTTCTTTTTGTATGGAAAACGGCCTAGAAACTTTGAGTGACTTTTTTTTTTTTACACTCTATATATCCTGTTGGTTCATATGGAATTTTCAGAATATTAATTCTTTTTAAAAGATTTATTTATTATGTATACACTGTTCTGTCAGCATGTACACCTGCAAGCCAGAAGAGGCCAGTAGAGGGAATAGATGGTTATAAGCCACCGTGTGGTTGCTAGGAATTGAACTCAGGACCTTTGGAAGAGCAATCACTGCTCTCAACCTGAGTCATTTTTTCAGCCCCAGGATATTAGTTCTTCCAATCCATAAGAAGGAGGTACAGAACCATTTATTTGTGCCTTCTTTAATGACAGTGTTTTGTAGATTTCAGCAAAGTTTCCACCTTGTTGGCTAAATTTATTCATAAGTATGTATATTTTGTTTGTATTATAAATGAATTAGTTTTTTCAATTATGTTTTTTAATAATTTGCCATTAATATTAGAAGTACAATTGACTCTTGTGTGTTGATTTTGTAACCAACAACTGTTTTGAATTTTTAAAAATGTGTTTATTTATTCATGTTACATCCTGATTGCAGTCCCCTCCTCTCCTGCCAGTCCATCACTTACACACATCTCACCCATGGTGGGGACCAACCCACCCTGGCACATTAAGTTGCTGCAAGACTAGGTGCCTCCTCTCCCACTAAGGCCAGACAAGGCAGCCCAGTTAGGAGAGTGGGATTCAAAGGCAGGCACCAGGGTCAGAGATCTGGGCCCCTACTCCAGTTGCTGGAGGACCTATATGAAGACCAAACTGCACATCAGCTACATGTATGTAGAGAGCCTAGGTCCAGCCTATGCATGTTCTTTGGTTGGTGGTTCAGTCTCTGTGAGCCGCATTGGATTGGTGTATTCTTTACAAATTTCTGTATATAAGATCATATCATCTGACAGAAGGACCTTTTCTTTGGCTTTTTGGATTGCTCTACTTGTTCCACTGGTCATTGCCATGGATAGGACTGCCAGTACTATATCGAACAGAAGTGATGGGTGAAGGCATACCTGTCTTATCATTGGCCTTAGGAGAAAAGCTTCTTTCTAGCATTGAATCTATACTATCTGTGGTTTTGTAATATTTTAAAGCCATTTTGTTTTGAGGAACATTTTTCCATACTGATTTTATCAAGTATTTATTCTGTTTTTTTCTTTTTTCTTTTCTTTTCTTTTATTTTTTATTTTAATCAAAGGTTATTCACATTATATTCCAGCCGTAGCCCCCTCACTTTCCCTCCCAATTCCCTCCCTCATCTCCTCCCTGTCCCATTCTAAGTCTATTGATAGGGGAGGTTCTCTTCCCCTTCCATCTGACCCTAGCTTATCAGGTATCTTCAGGGCTAGCTGCAATGTCCTTATCTGTGGCCTAGCAAGGCTGCTTCTCCCTCTGGAGGATGGAGGGAGGTCAAAGAGCCAGTCATTGAGTTCATGTCAGAAATTCTGAAAGGTCGTTATATGTTGTCAAATGCCTTCTCTATATCTATTAAGATAACCAGTTTTTTTGTCTTTTATTCTAGTGATGTACTATACAGCAATTATTTACTTGTGTATATTGAGCCATTCCTGTACTACAGAAATACATCCTACTTCATTTTGGGAATTGGCAATGTTAATGGAATAATATTTTGTTAAAAATCTTTGCATTTATATTCATCAGGAATGCTGCTTATGATTTTTTTTTCTTCCTGAGGCATTGTCTGGCTTCAGTACAAAGTAACAACAGTTTAATGTTCCCATCTCTTAAATTTTGGACAAGTTTGGAGAGGACTGCTATGACTTTTCCTTAAACATTTGGTAGAATGCATCTACCAAGCCTTTACATTCTGGGCAGAGGCCATGGAGGAATGTTGCTTGCTTTCTTATAGCAACTGGGACCACTTGCCTAGGGGTGGTATTACCCAGAGTGAGCTGGTCTTCCCACATTCATCATCAGTCAAGAAAATGCACTTATAGGCTCGTCTACAGCAAATTTTAGGGAGTCATTTCTTGAGTTGAGACTCCCTCTTCCCAAATGACTACTTTGTGTCAAGTTGACATAAAACTGGACAGCACACTAGTCATCATTATTTTTAATAGTTTTGACATTTGACCCTAGTACTGAGAACACAACTGTTTTATATACCACAACTACAATATACAACATTTAAATGTGGACTTATTTTACTTGTGCTTTTTAGTTTGATACATTTTCATGCTGTTAATATTATTTAACTCAACAAAATTCTCTTTAGAATTTTGTACAGCATGGGTCTGGTAGTGATATACCCCTGCAAATTATTCTTTATCTGAAAAAAGTTATTTCTTCATTTCTGAAATTCAGCTGTGTCAGGGAAAATATACTTGATCAGCACTTGCCTTCTTCCAGTTTTCTGAATGAATTATCCCATCCTCTTCTAGACTATACATTTTCTGTTGAAATCCTCTGTGACCCTTAGTGAAATTTCCTCATATGTGCTTTATTTTATCTTGCTGATTTTATGGTCTGTTCTTCATATTTGATTTAGGGGTTTTTTTTTTTTTTGGCAATTTTATGATCATATATCTTGGGGTCATGTTTATTTCATTAAATCTGAAGAATTCTGAGCTTCCTGTATCTGAATGCTTGTAGCTCTTTCCAGAACAGGAAAAGTGTCTGCTATTATCTCTTGAAGGAAAAGTTCTAATCCTCGTTTCTTCTCAGACTTCTGTAACTCAAACGTTCCCTGTGTCGATGCTACTTCATATATTTCATATGTGCTTTTTATTCCTTGCCCTTCTCTTTTCTTCTTTCTCTTCTGACTGTAGTTTCAGAAAACTTAACTTTAACTTCACAGATTCATCTGTAACAGTCAGTTCTGCTGGTTAGGTCTCTGCTCAATTTTATATTTGGACATTTTCCTTGATTTTTTTTGAGCAATTTATTTGTTCTTTTTCTGTTTGCTGATCTTTTCCTTTTTAAAAATTTATGTATTCATGTACTTGACATATAGGAGTCTTCTGTCTTCATGCACACCATAAAGGTAATCAGATCCCATTACAGATGGTCGTGAGCCACCATGTGGTTGCTGGTAATTGAACTCAGAACCTCTGGAAGAGCAGCTAGTGCTCTTAAACACTGAGCTATCTCTCCAGCCCACTGATCTTTCCCTAACTAATACTTTTGTGTCTTTGGTAGCTGGTTGAAACCTTCATTTTTGTGGTATCAGCTACTGAGATTATTATGTTATTTTGGTGCTGTCATGTCTCCTTGGTTTGAGTTACCTTGACTTGATTTCTGCAAGTTTAATGGAGTTGCTTCATGATGCAGGTTTTTAGCTGAAGTTTAGTTCTGGAAATTACCCCCCTCTCCTTTTGTTTACAGGTTGGTGCAAGGTACATGCTGGGTGGTATAAAGTGATTAAGTGATTTACATGCCAATGATAAATACACTGAGGTAGCCTGTGTGCTATGTCAGCTGAGGCTGCTGTTGGTAAAGTTTCCCAGGGTCCTCAGTAGCTGAGCTTTGATACTTAGAGTTGTCGGCATCTGGATGATAACTGCTAAAGTACTCCTGATCTCTTTTTTTCCTCCCAGGAACATTTTGACCAAAAGGATCCCTGTTGGTCCTCAGTCTGGCTTGCGATATTACTTTCCAGAAGTCTCATTATTGTGATATTATGGTAGTATATGAATTGTGGTACAGATGGTGTAGCCACTGAGCTAGGCCTCACACATGGGCATATTTGGAGATAACACTTCTCTAGAATCCAGGAAATTAATTGTATTTATGTCTGGGGTGCAGATGTTCCTGCATTATTTCAGAAGGTATGTATGTTATAAATGCTTATGAAGTAGCTAGTCATAATGAAAATTGATAGTACAAGCAGGTGAAGAGTTGGGCAGCTTTGCAGTCATG